TATTTAAAAAATTATTATTAAAAGAATTATTATGAAATAATTTATTATGAAATGAAGCTTTTGAAGATAATAACTTCTAAATCTTTTGGAACTCATATTTACTCGAATATATTCTCGTGACTCTGTAGAACGCATCAGGTATCTTTCAATAGAAAGTTACCCAGGTAGCAAGCACTCGTCATTTTGACGTCAATTGACAAAAGACGTCAAAATGACAGACTTTTGACGTCAAAATGACGAGTGCTTGCTACCTGGGTAAGATACTTGTAGTTTAGCATGACGATGATTTCTTGCAAGTTAATTTTACGAATAAAGCACGCTGCACACAAAAAAACAACACCGAGGCCGCCTGTCAATGCCGATATCATTTTACGAAATCTAACTTAACATTTTCTAACATAGATTTTTCGTGTCATGCAAATTTGAAAGAGTCGAGACGCCGATTGCTCCGATTCGTTCCGCGTTCATCACCGCGTTACGTTAATGGTGACGAAATGTTCCGAGATGTCGGCAACTTCAGCGCGATACTACGCGAGTCAAGCGGACGGTTAGTAAAGACACGCAGTTGGTCATGGTTGATCAAAGATACGCTATTGAAAGTAAATATCGCACGCGCAGAACGTATCGGACTCGAAAATATCGCGAAAGTAAAACTGTATTATTGATCGATTCTTTGCACGACGAAGAATTTGCCGGCTGCCAACTTACGCGACGCCGAATATATACAGAGATTATGACGCATTCACGAACGCCCGGTGTCGGCGTCGGCGTTCCGTTATTTCAGTCACTCGATACGACGATATATCACTCAGCCCTTTTTTCTCTTCGGAGAGAATCGGATTCGGAGAAAAATACGAGATATGTGCCGGCACAGCGTTCGAAGCGCGACACGAGATGAATAAATGCTACGAGTTTAGACGTATCGCGGATCGAGCGCCACGATTATCGTCCGGGATTGTCACAACGAAACTGGTAAATCGCATATGTGCCTATACTCACAATCACTTTCGCCTCGACGTCTCCGCCTCGACGCGCGACGTCTCCGCCTCGAGCGAGCCCTCCGATTCGCGTGACACAAACATATTTTACACATTTGAAACACTCGCAGATTCTCGAGTGCGTAGTGCGTACGGCGCGTTCTCACGTAGTCGCTTATTCCCGCGGCGGCCGCGAAACGAGGAGCAGGGGTGCCAATCGCAGAAACGAGCGCGTTCCGAATAACACACAGCACGGAGCACGGAGCCGGGAGCCGGGAGCACGGAGCACGGACGCGCGGCTCACGGACACTTCTTAGTTCTTACCTGAGAGATTTATCGAGTGACTTCCGAGGTGACGGTACTCCGAGCGTCGAGGGAAACGAGCGGCAAGGCCGGCAAGTTGCAAAAACAATCGACTTTGAACGTACGCCGTTCACGAGCTCATTCAACGACCGCGTCTAGTAGGTCTAGTAACTCTAGTACGTCGCGCGGCGGCCGCTCGCCGCCGCTGGCGGCGCGGCGGCTCGGAGTAGTCGAACGTGATTGGCCGGATCTGGAGGCTCGACTCGCCGGCCAATCGCGTTCGACCGTGCGTCGGCAGCGGCGCGCGCAACGCAACGCAAGTAATACGCGTTCGAACTTCGAGGTCGCCACGTCGCCCGCGCCGCGTCGTCGCGATGTGTTACTGCGCTCGTGTAATTTCTTGCTCGTGAACGAAAAGAAATTCGGTTACAGAGTGCGTGTCGCCAAGCTGAACGTACGCCGTATTCCGTTTCTTCTCGTGGTCGACCGAAACGGGTGCGATGCCGTCGCTGGGCGAGATGAACGTCGAATGCCGTGCTGGACCTGGACGCCGCCGTACGTATCACCCCCCCCCCCCCCCAGCTGTGGTTTGACGGGTCTCTTGCAGTGCGCCGTGATCGGTGAGTGATTACTGATTTGTGCATGAGAAAACGAATGATTCGAAGCGCGATACGCCCGAATCTTAATAGAATATCGTTGTCCCGCGTGTCGCAGTAAGAAGTTAACCTCGCGTCGGAATTCGCGTCTCTCGCCTCCGTATCGATTTCTACTTCGAACGTGAATCGCGCGGGAAAACGCTTCGGTGAATGACTTGAACCTCTCTCTCGTTAAGCGGGAATTAATAATCGATTGAGTAATTAAAGAGAACGATCGCGCGTTTGACGTTCTCATTGTGCTTGTCGCGATCGCGAACGATCGCGAACGAGGGAGCGATCGACTGGAGCGAGCTTGCTCCAAAATGCGTATGAACGTACGTCGAGAGTGCGAATTAACAAGCTCAAATGTGCATCCACGAATGCAGTTCCGTTTTTCGATAAAGAACACAGCGCGTAATTCGCGCCATGACCATAATCGGTTTAATATTGCACTATTCTATACTTTACTCACTAAAATATTCAAAGTTATATGACACAAGTATAAAAATTACCATTTGCGAGGAAAAAATATATACGCGGCAATGTTTTGAGTCCGCGCATTTTCTTGAGATATAGTGCGCTATGTAACTCGCCTGTCGCTTTTTCTGCAGACGGCGAACGCTAAGGAAAA